TATAAAATTTTTTTTAACTTTTTTATTTCAATTTAATAGAATCATAATGCTAAGACTAAATAAATGTATAAAGCAGTCTCAAGATGCTATCAAAAAGCATTGAAAACAAGAAGAAAGTTCTGAAAAAGCAATAATTGAGTTATCAGATGCTGAGTTCGATAAGTTTGATGAATCATTGTTTGACACATTTTGGATGGAAGACGAGAAAATTCACTTTGATAGTAATGAAATTATAGATAGAATAGAAGCATTACAACTAAACATGCTGGAACAACTAGTTAAAAATGCAAAAAAATCGCATATATGGGATGTAAATTTACGTAAGCCAGTATACAATGATGCTGCATAATCAATAATACGTAATAAAAGAGCATATTGGCAAAAAGCAGCTTCAGTTTCTAAAAAAATTACTAAAGTGTTTCCAATAAATTAAACTATTGAACTTATTAAGCCTAATGCAGACCTTATGTTTGAGGAAAATATAACAACAATAATGATGACAATAATAATGAATTTACTTTAGAGTCTTTAGATCTATTATTAAAAAAAGAAAAAGATGATTTGAGGTTTTGAATGATAAGTTAATTTTTCTATTTAGTACAGGATTAAGGATTCATCAAGATGAATGTAAGCAATCTTCTTTTCCAAAGATTAAATAAAGATTTATGGTAAGCGCGATGTTAACCCTATGTTCAACCGTTGAACTTAGGGTAACAATGACTTGATAACAGGGAGTAATACGTATAATTAATCTAAAATTACTATGAAATAAGTCCTATCACAATCAACCTTTATCACAATTAATAATAAATAATAATAAATAGACATGTTGAAGGATTTTGTGTAGATTATTATGTAGAAAGAAGATTTCTTTATTGTAGAATTTGTATTCCTAGAATTCTTTACACTTAAATTCTAAACCCTGAACTCATTACCTGAGTTCTTGAACTCACACTCTGAGTTATCTTTTCATTTGAGCTTTATATTATCTTATTTATATAAAAATACAATTATTAAAAAATCTATATATAACATTATTATAAAATAAATAATTAATAACAATAAAATAATTAATATATATAATATATAATCTAACTATTATAAATAATAAAACTATGTTAAATATAAAAATGTTGATAATATTGATAATGTTAATAGAGTTGAGAATGTTAATGGAGTTGAGAATGTTAACATTTTTGCAGATCCTTATGATGCAGTAATTTTGATATGATCCGGTATCAACAACTTATCTAATCTTAGGTAAACCAATGACTTAGCAATGGTTTGATTGTTACATCCAAATATGGTCGCCATGCAAAAATCAGGTCTTTATTCTTCATGAAGACCTTAAGTTACGAATAACTGAATATTTACGCATACATAAATTCAAGTTGAATGTTGCTGACTTTGTAAAATTCATTGAAGATGAGGTTATTCCCACCCTTGGAATAGAAAAGAAAACAATAATCTTATATTTAACTGCGCATGAATGGCTGCATATACTCAGCTAGAAATATAAAGACCACTTAAAAAATATTTATTTTAATGGTCATGAACGAAAAGATGTGATAGTAGATAAATAACGATTTGTGTAGCATAAGCAGAATTACAAAACCAAATAGCCACTTATGAAGATGAAAATTTAGAAAAGGTTATCTTACCTGAACTTCCCTATAGTGCTTCTGAAATCATTTCCATTACTCATAATGAGTCAATCTTTTACGCTAATGATGATATTGTCAAGACTTGGGATTCAGCAGATGAAAGTTGACTACATCACAAATCACAAGACCTTAGTATTCATGTAAGTGACTTTCTTTGTGAATCTATAGTATGACTTCAGCTTTTAAAAGAAAAATGTATCATTAACGATTCACTTCTTAATAGTGAGCGACTTGTGCATACTGAAGCTTGTGTTATAATGTATTCCAGAACAAATTGTAATAACTGGTAGACCAATAAAAATGTTATTGAACAAATAATAGAATGAGTAATTCCAATATTTAAATATACTCACCTAATATAATGCATTATTTTTGTTTAATCACAGTTGCAACCATAATGCATTTGCTAATGATGCATTAATAGTTTCAAGAATGAATGTAAAGGATGACAGAAAATAGCCACTCCTTCACAATGGTAAAATGTCCAATGGTTCACCTCATATTATGACATTATGAATATTGATGGGATAGTAAAACTTAAGGTATCCGACAAGTTCTTGAAGAATGTGGCTTATGGATATCGGGTTTAAAAAGAAAATGTAATGTGTGTACACAATATAACCCTAATCTAAATAAACTAGACTATTGTGCAATATACATCTTTACTGCTTAACCCAACTTTGCATCACAAAAGATACATCTACTAGAGGTAAGTTGCAATGAATTAATCAAAATTCTAATGTTCCAATATAACTAAAAAAAAATACTTATCTTTCAGGTTATTGAAGCAGCAGGACATATGTGTATATTCTATCTGAAGTTCCACTGTGAGCTTAACTATATTGAGTCCTTTTGGGCAGAGGCAAAGTGGTACTCACATCTTCACTACAATTATTCATTTAATGACTTTAAAAAAGTTGTATTATATGAATTAGATTCAATTGACTTAACAAAAATCCGTCAGTTTTCACATACTTTTGTGCATTATATAAGCATTTATGAACTTGGACTTTCAGGTAAGGTGGCTGTTTTTGCAGTTAAGTAATATCAGTCTCATCGTCGGGTTTCTGCAAACATTTTGAAAGAATTCAGAGATATGTAAAAATAATTTCTGAGTTGCAATTAGTCAATCATATACTTTATGTGATTTTATACACACCAATTATTTTCTTTCACGTGATACTTGTAGTGCTGAAAATCCTGATATTACTATTAAAATTAATATTAAAAAGGTTAACTACAAAAAATTTTTATAATAAAATTAATAAATAAAATACGTTGTATTAAAGATTACATCAAGAGGTATAAAATTACATATCTTTTTTTAATGTTTTAATAATTAAATAAAATTTCTTAGCATTTTAAAGTCACTAATATATATTGAATGCGACTAAGCTATTTGCATCATAGCAAAAGATGATATATTATATGCCTTATTTATCAGGTAGTGATATATATACCTTTGAAATGGTGGAGCACTTGTTTTACAAATTTAAGGTAATTACAAGATTTAGCTATACAATTATTTTCTATCATCACAAATGCAGCAGCTTGTGAAAGGGTTTAGTCATCTATTAGATGGATTTATGAAAAGAGATGAATTTGTCTTAATTTTAATACAATAGAATCTTTAACAAAAATATATCAATTTATTTTACAAAATACAAGGCAAAAATTACATCATTAAATAGTAAAAAAAGATACAAATGAAATAGTGCAAATAGTTGAAAATTTATTGATTGAAAGTTATGAAAAAGATGATATAAGTGATAATTAAGGTTGTTAGGCAAAATCAAGAGTTTAGACAGACGTCTAAATGGTAAAGATAAAACTTGGTTAAATTATATTAAAATCTTATTAAAAAATCTACGAAATTCAGAAAAAGGTAAAACTATATCAAAGCTTATAAAAATGGCGAAACTATATCAAACACTTAGTAAAAATTTAGCGAAACTAAAGGTTTAAACGTTTAGCCAAATCCAAAATGAGTTTAGACAAGTAACCTTAATAATGATGAAGTCTAAGTATTATTAAAATTAAATGAACTTGCAGTAGCTAATAATTGTAATATAAGAAAAATTAAATATTACAACAAAATTTAATTTAGAACTAATAGTATTGATAGATTATGTTGATTTATATTTTAGTGTTAGAAAAATCAAAATTCGCAAATATATTCTGATATATATACATCTACACTACACCATCTTATTTATGGATCGATAAATATGATGAAATATATGGTCAATAACTTATTTTTGTGACTTTTTTACATAGTATATTTAATGATTATATAATTAATATATCATAAAGTAATTTATTATTTTAGTTAAAGTATATTTTTATTTAATATTTAAAAAAAATTAAATAGATAACCCGCATTCAGTGTTATCATGAAATACAGATACAGACATGGACCAGACCGGACTGGACTGTCTGTGTCCATATCTGAGATTTTTTTATGTTCAGGACTTTTTGTCTGCATTAATGCTGGCTATATCTCTTGTTAATTCTGGCCAAAAGATATCTAATATCAGTTCATATCCCAACTGTCCTACGAATACAGTTCTGGATATAAACTTTCAGACGTTCTGTGTCTGCCAAAAATCACTGGGATAATATCTGTGTACAATACTGCCTGCATTCACACACGTATTCTAAAATAAAATGAACTATAAATCCTGGTGAACTTTATTATAATAATTACAAACAGATTGAACGCACGTCCTGTGATATAAAACAATTGATACTATCTAAATATTTTCTTAAAAACTTAAACTATATTAGTGGTGATTCAGACTCAAAAGATCCTCTAGAACATAAAGATGATAGATATGAATCTTAGGCTTTGTTTCTACACTTATTTTAGCCTTTTTAGGTGTTGTTAAGCACGGAGATATTTAAAACTTACTCTCATTTAATAGTCACTTTCGAAATCTAGCTTCTTTAAATGATTTTGTGATTTGTTTTTTTGTATATACTACCTTCATTGTTTTTCAAATCACAGCCTAAATTTATGAATATATCAGATTATATTAGCACATATATTGCATAATCACTATAAGAAAAAAGCATAAATCTAACTTTTATATTTAAACTGATGATAAAATGTCCAAAATATCTGGAAATTTTTCTGTATTATCTGGAATTTCCATTGATTCATTATGTCAGATCCTACAGATGTATCACTTTGGGTTGTTCAGATATATCATCATAATCATTAAACCTATTAATTAAAGATATTAGTTTGATGCATTGATTTTTTTGCTGAAGTAGGAAGAACATACCAGCATGGATTACTCCAACCATTTGAATTTTCACACATCTCTTTTTATCCTAACGTGTTTTTGCCATTAATTTTACTAGCATATCTTTAAGGGTTTTTGGTAGCTTTAACACTGCCTCTTTGAGAAATTTCATTTCCTGTTTATCTACCCAATTTTTTCCAGCTTCCACGATTCTGAATTCATCTTTCTCACTATTATTATGAATCTTAGGATTCAGTCACCTCTGCGACCTATTTTCCGCTATTTTCCTAATTGCCTTTTGCATTCTTTTATGTTCCTGATGCCAAGCTTATGTTTTCCCCCTAAATTATTAGAAAAAGAACCTTGTCAGATACATTAAGCAAGCTACATTTTTAAAGAAAATTCCTGATGATGGTTATCACATCTAAATCACTAAAGTTTTGATCAAGATTGGGTTCCACACGTAACAATTAAACCAAACCTTAAAATTAGTTACTTTCAAGCTTCCGTTTTTAATTTCTCTTAATCTATAAAAATTAATTTAGCCAATTCAACATATATATATGCAAGCAAGTCACAAGATCTGAAATACTTACAATAAATATATAGCATAAATGATATAATCCTTATTATGATCTTTTTCGCGATTATAATTATCATTAAACATCATTTTTTTTATAATCTTTTGAATATCTTTCAATATCAACTATATCAGGAAAAAAGATTGATGACTTGTTGTGATATATTTTTGTCAGTAGCATGTAAATTAATTATTATCTTATCAAGGAATTCCATCAGAAAATCATTTATTTCATCCAAAATATCAGGCACATATGAACCGGGCGTGAAATCTATTTTATCACATTCTTCCTTATTAAAATGATGTTTAATTATCTTATCAATAACATCTAGAATGAAAAAATAAATAGCATTAGGAGATAAAAAACTTTCAATTCAATAAATCATCTTACATAATATAATTACAGCAGAATATAAACACTAAATGCTCAAATTTTAATTTTTTTTCTTAATTGGAACAATTTTTCTTTGACATATTTTCCTATTAAGAGTTTCCACATTCTCTCTTTTTCATATTGTTATATGTTTGTTTAATCATCTGTCAGTGTTCCTTTCTTAGCATGAATAGTCCAGTCTAAACGGAAATTCTCATTATTGTCTAAAAAAACCCAAAGTTAAACATTCTAATAAATATTTACCTTATTTTCTTTTACCTCTTTCATTTCCACTTTCTCTTCATAATTCGTCTCCTTTACAAGACAGATAGTAGTAAGAATACCAAGTATTTACAACTAATAACACCTGCCAGATGTAATTGCCTTGTGATCTGATGTATTTAAATTATTTGTTTCTGAATCTTCTTTGTTCTCAGAAACATCAGTTTCTGGCTGTGCATAAGTTCAGAAAATATAAGGAAACAATTTTTTTCATACTAAGCATTAACATAAATACAATTTACCTCAATTCTAGGAAACATGGAAGTATATGAAAGAAAGATATTTGAATAGTCTTTGAAAAATAATATTTCAACATTATATTCTACCACTTTTGCTATATACTCTCATACTACCAGTAAGATATGCTCACTGTATTTCTATCTATTTTACAAGAGTTAATTGTTATTTCATCATATCCGAACATTTGACCGAAAGCCATTTGACCGAAAACTATTTGTCACGCATATGCATATATAAATAACAATTTTTATAGTAACTGTATCAATTGATGTGTGATGTTTAATGCGGTGACAAATAGATTCAGTCAAATGGCTTTCGGTCAAACGTACCGTAACCTTATTTCATATGATAATACAAAAAATTTCACATAAAGGCAAATGGCATAAAAACCTTTTCCTGCTTGTAGATTATTATTTTTCAATAGATCTGCAAACCCTTGTTTTCACATTGTTTTTTTACCTATAGGAATATGAAACAGAAAATAAGTGTATAACTTCCAGATAATAAGTAGAAGCTTTATCCTAAGAAGAAAAGGTAAATCACAATAGTAGGACCAGAATAAAAGCTGATACCTCCTAACTCAGATAAAAATAGGTGAAGTTACTACTATCATTATTCAGGCTGAGACAAAAACCAATACTTCTAATCCAGATAAAAATAGATAAAAGCTTCCTATTATTACTATTATTGTGAAATATATGAACACAGCATTTTTTCTTTTATAGTTACATAGTTATATTCTTTTAATTCTTTTTCTTTCGTCAAAATTTACGAGCCCAAGTGAGGTTAAGAAAACTCCATTCATTTGAAAAAGGTTGTGAGAAAAGGATAATATTACAATTAAGTTTTAGAAATTCAGTGTAAGAACATAGCGTATTATCTTTTATGTAAGAGACAACAGCTTGAATATTGTTAAATAGCAGGTTAGAAAAGGAAAAAGGTGTACTTTTTCTTTTAAATAGTTGTACAAAACATTAAACGTGATAACAAGAGTACAGCTCAATATCTTCGCTTATAATTCAATCAGTATTTCAAATAAGCTATATAGACATTTATCATGTTACAAATGTATTATAGATGTAGTAGAATATAAAATAAAACATACTTTCATAAATTTAAAAATCAATCAAAAACATATTCTTTATTAGTAAAATGTTACATAAAGGTAAGAAAAATGAAATGGTGGTCTCTATTGAGACCTTAACTAATAAAAAATATTGGAGTAGATCTATTTAAAAACACAAAATGAAATAATATCATGCTTTCCGCTAACCTCTGGACCATAAAAGACACTACCCCGTATTATTCTTATTATTATTATTATTTACGCTATTCTGAATTATTATTATTTTCTAAAATATTAGTAATTTCTTTATTATCTACCTATTTTATAATTGCTTTATTATTGCCATAACTGTATTAAATTTTGAATTCCCTTTTACCATAATTAGAGTTCCAAACAGGTCAGATCGGGTCGGGTAATTGACTTGACCTGATCTGATAAGGTCAGGTCGGGTCAGACATAAAATTGACCTGAATTAAATATACATTTGACCTGACCCAACCCAACCTGACCTGACCTGTCTAAAAAAGGAAATTAAACAATTATTAATTTTGTTTAATATTTTTTTAAAAAAATATAAAAAAATATTGATACATTTTTACATTTGATTATTTTTCAAAAAAAAAAATACTAATATAATTATTTTAACTGCAGAATTTAAAATTACAAGTTGCGATAAATCTGCAAATCTGGTGACTGCTAATACAATTACAAAAAACGTTTGTAACTTTATAACCATTAATCCAATCATAATAAAATTTTATATGCATATATTTTTGAACCCGCTAAACAACTTTACATATGTGATCAAAGTTGATTTCTTTTGACCAAAATATTTAAATTACTCTTTGAAGTTACTGTACAGATAAAAAATAAAAATAAAAAAATCTGTAAGATAATACAATTACGAAAAACGTTTATAATTTTATAACTATTAATCCAATTATAGTAAATATTTATTTATACATATTATCAAACCCGCTAAACAATTTTACTTAAGCGATAAAAGTTAATTTCTTTGACCAAAATACTTAAATTGCTATTTGAAGTTACTATACAGATAAAAAATAAAAATAAAAAATTCGTAAGATAATATAAATACGAAAACGTACATAACTTTATAACCATTAATCCAATCATAATAGAATTTATATGCACATATTTTTGAACCCGCTGAGCAACTTTACTTACATGATAAAGGTCAATGTTTTTTAACCAAATTGCTCAAATATCTCTTTAAAGTAATTGAACTAATAAAAAAAATTAAAATTAAATTGTTGAACAATGTAATTGCAAAAATGTTTATAATTTAAAATTTAACTTTTTGATTATAATAAATTACAAAGTAATTATATAAACAACTTTATTAGAATATAAAAAGAAAGTATATTAAATAAAATTAAAGATGTTTTAAAAAAAAAATAGACAAAAAAAAAATTTTTTTTTAAATATTTTATTTTACTTAATTTGATTGGTTGACCTGATGTTGATCTGAAAATTTGTCTACCTGACCTGGATTTTTCAGGTCGGGTTGGGTCAGGTCACAGGTTGACCTGACCTGATTCAAAGCTCTAATTATAATAAAAACTTTTCACAGTATCCTTCCTAATCTTCTTTCCAGAAATTATGAATTTCACGTCTAACAGTTTTAAATGCATAATCATAATATTACTACTTTTTTTTCTAAATTAAAAACTTGCTTAAAACAGCTCTTATTTTCTTCAAGAGCTGAATCAGATAATCAACTAGAAGAATTTTAACTACTAGAGGAATAATGAACAATTGCATAATGTTGGATCATTTCATTTTGAAAAGCTTCAATAGAGGTTTTGATCAAAGTGAATTCAGATGAAATGTTGCCAAAATTATTACAGCAGGTTTTTTCAATATTATTAAGTCTTGTGATCACATTATTGACTATTGATAAAATTTTCTACACCTTGGAGATGTAGCCAGCATCACGTAAATTGATTTTAGTAATTTCTGAAGTAAGTTTATTATTATTTTTGCTGAGCTCTGTAGTAAAGAATCAGAAAGATATGCAAAATGTTCATTGGTAATTTTAGTATTAATTCTTACGATAAGTTTACTGAAGGTGTTTTTGATTTTTGATGTATTATTTTTTGTATCAAAATCATTAACGATTCTAGTGACATATGCAGAAAGTCCATTAGAAATTTTTTGTTTAAGATTTGATCACATAATAGCAATTCCTATGAATAACATTGAACTAATGAACAAAAAACTAATGGTTAAGGTCAAAAAAGACATGGCTTTCAAAGAGTTAAGCAATGACAAACTGGATATAATTAGGTAAATTGATGTGAAATTTTATTTGTAGATCAAGTTTTTAGATATTAATAAGATCAGTTATTTAGAATAAATGATTTTTTTTTGCATATATGTATTAGAAACACAAGGCTCTTTTATACTTTATTATTCCTTATACTCATAGTAATAGATATTTAATCTTATTTATCAGGATAGAGTGAAAATTACATTATTGCTTTGTAAGGCGTTTTTATTAACTGTTAAAAAATTCAGTTTAACTGTTCCAAAATTAATTTGATAAAATTATAAGCTTTATGACAAATTGATATAATATCAATTAATACTAATAAAGTAATAAAAATGAGTTGTTATCAAGAAATATACTGTTTATTGTCAAAATTACACAAAATCTAAAAATATAGAAGATTGCTTACATTTTTTACGTAATTACACATTATTTTTAATCCATATTCATATTTCATACAAATCTATTAACAACCCATAAATAGAATTTTGTTTTATTATATAGAATGGGACTATAGGTGCTTTGCATACCCTGATTCTCTATTACATTTCATAAGATCGAGATATGTAAATCGGTAGATCAAGACTCTTATTTCTTATTCTTATTTTATTATAATATCAAGGATATCAGATCAATTTACGTAATGCAATTTGTAATATGTGTATAATGCCAGAACTTTTGAAAAAAAAAAGTTAATAAATTAATTATCTATTGATTTATTCTTATAATCTAACCCATATATTTGACAAATCTGATAACATTTCACAAGAATGTTTCATTATTATAAAAATAACATATTCAGGGATCACAGAATGATCATTATCCTTCTAGCCATTATTATGAAAATAGCACATCTATATCTAAAAATAAATGTATTATAGAGAATTATAGGGATAATATCTTACTACAATGTTTGGAATTAAGAGATGTTCACCTTTATGTGATTTTGAAAAAACATATAATTCATATATTTTTTACTTTTTAGCGTCTTTGGTTAGAAAATGATTATTTCTTCACAAGTTTCATAACCTTTATTTTCAGTATTATTTAGCAAATTTAGCAAATTTACTACTCTTTTCATAGTTGTCACTTAGTGTAATGTCACAACTAATCTATGATTTAACCTTTCTTTTTTACCTTACCTTATTTGAATGATGAAATCAGTTATGCAATTATCTATTTTATTTCTATAATATTCTGCTTTGAAGATGAGTTCATCTTGACTGAATGAATTATAAAATGCCTTTATACTAAAGAGTTCTCTCATTAAAGCGTGATATGCATTTTCTTTTAGATCATTGCATTGGTTTTTGAGTTTAATCGAAAGATTAATAAAATTATTAACCTAAGGTATATTTTTTTGATCATATAATAATACTTTGTAAACTTCATTAACTATTAAACCTTAATTAATAAGCTCTCATAATTCTGTATTTGTTACTATAATACTTTTAAACTGGGTCTTATCAGTTAATGCTAAAGTTGCTGATAATGTGAATTGAATATATTTTTTATTCTTTTTATGAACTATACTTTTGACTTTAGAAGAGTGAATTTAAAATTTTGAAGAAAAAATAACATTATATATGATTATTGCAGAGAATTATAAAGATGATGTCTTACTACACATAATATTTCAGACCTTCTAAGTCGCTTACATG